GAGGGAGAGAGAGGGAGAGAGAGACCAAGGACATTTTATGCCCGTATTTGTCTTGGGTTATGTAGAGATCTTATAGATTTTAATTTAATTTTATTGTCTTGTCATCCTTTCTAAATCTGTTATAAGTGAGAAACAACGCAAATCAGTATTGTACTGCCAAGTTGATTTTGAAAGTATAAACAGAAATCAGTTGTACCTTCATTTTATATAGAAGTAAATAAAGACGTCTCGGAAGTACCCACCATGTCCCTGTAGCTGTTCTTGCCGGTGTTGTACACGTCAGCCACGACTTTGCCGCTCAACATCAAGTCGAGGTTCACCTGGCGGCCTGGCACTGCGCCTGCGCTGAAACTCACGTGATACACCCCCGGGAAAGCGCAGGTAAAAATACCGGACTTCAGGTTGAAATGACCGCCGATATTCACCAGCATCTGGGGAAAGCAACAAAAAGTGCCATGTCAGTTCAAAAACATCGCAAATTTATCAAAAATATTATGATAACTATGTATTACTTCAATTGGCAAAAATATATATGCAGGGTATATTGATATTAGTTGATGAAATTGTAACAATCCGTTTATCCCCGTAAAATGCTGCAAAGAGCTCAAATAATATGGCCGTCATGATAACTTATTTGTGGGCTGATAGCGCTTATCGTGAATTTGAAGATGACAAAACTATACAAGGGTTTTAGACCTTTTTTCTTTCTTTTAAAGCAAACGACCGAAAAGATATCCAATGCAGTTTCATTGCGACAAAACAAAAATATTCTAGATGAGGAAATATATCTAATATTGACATGGAATTCCACTTGTTACAACATTATTGTCATAGTTTTAAATTCAAATAGTTTGAAATAGCCCCAAAACAAGCTGCGTGGAGGGGAGGGAGTATCACACATAAAAGCAATAACCAGCCTAAGATACAAAACAAGCAACATCGAATTTTCGTCTCACGCATATCAGTATGCTGCAGGGTAGGGCTGATTTAACTTATATTAATTACTACGTTAGGAAAACAACCAGTAAATTGAATTTGAAAATCCAGTTTTGTCGCCTTGAAATTACGATGTATACGTGTTGGCATAGAGCCATGGCTGGTCTATTCTTCTGTCTTTCTTAGCAACAAAAGTGTGCAAGGCTCACCTTGTCAAAAAGTACCTTCTGGTACTTAAAGCTGCCCTTGAGGCTGCGAGTTCTTGCTACGGAAAAAGCGACCCTCTGCGGCGGTTGAAAAGCCATGCTATTTTGAGGGAGGTTGACGATAGATCCGGGTGGACCGGGCGGCCCTGGCGGACCAGTGATGCACTGCACCTTCCCCCGCTGAACTGGAATGGTGAAAGGTAAAAAGGTGAAACTCCGGTCGAACACATGACAAAGCAAAGCTAGAGAGGCATCTAAGCATATTTGGTTATAAGTACCATTTCCGGAAGGCTTGAAATTGTTTATGACACTTATTGTTTCTTGTAGATCGTGGTTCTGTATGTCTTGAAAATTCCACTCGACTGCGACGTCCGGAAGAAAAAAGATTCTCCTCAAACATTACAGTATTCCATGGTCAAGGCTACTTTTTTGTGGAAAAAGCCATAAGGTGTCATTTCTTAGATAACTGGTAGGGCAAATGAAGTCCTGGCTTTTCTACAAGTTGGATGTTTGTACAGGTTCGAAATAAAAATCACCATTTTCCAATACTACAATAATCAAGTACAGATTTTCTTCTGTTAGTACTGATAGATTAGACCATGTTGATTTATTATATGGATGACATCCTCTGGGAACCCCAAAACTGATGCGAGCGTGCGAACAAAAAAAAAGTTTGGCAAAAAAAAAGTTGCCTTCATTATCAAATCTACGAGGCCATGAAGGTTGAACAAATAACTAAGCATACGGGTATGGTATGGCGAATAATGGACTCATCGTTTTCATTTTCATTTTCCTCTTTTCCTTAGAAAGTATTTTGTCATTCAACGACATTACTATCGTTTTCCAATATCATTTTTTTTTTGCAATTTACGGCATATATTTGCTCATTTTGCAGGTGCCTTGTGTGATGTACAGTAATCGAATCTTTTTTTTGAGACGGACGAAAATTCATGCGCGCGCTGATGTCATCCATATAATCAAATCAATATGGCCTTAGATATACTAGCCACGAAATCTGCGCACGAAGATTCGTTTTTGTTGACCTAAGTTGTCAGATTCTGGGCTCAAATCTGTTTTCTTTTCGTCAGTAACCTAGCCGAGGCCTTTGGTAGCTGTTTTCAATCAAACGGGTCACAGACGACACTCGGTAGGTCTTGAGGTAAGTGTCAGGAATGCGCGGGAAGCAAAAGTTCAAGTTCACAAAGACACTGAAACATACGGCTTGTCTCTACCCCTTCTCCGGCGCGCGTTTTCGGGCGTCTGGTCAAAATAACGGTCGATGTCATATCACTAAATAGAGGTCGGTGTCATATCTAAGCGTATCATACCTTTTATGAGGGGCAAAAACATTTAAAACGTATCAAAGCATCATTTCAATTGCAAATGTATCGTTAAAAATAGTAAAGATATTAGTAAGTAAATAAAGATAGAGAACAAACTCGGATGGGAAGTTGGTTAAAAAAGGCTAATCCCAAAAAATGTGATCCTCTACGCCACGAAACATCACGGTTTTGCTGGAGCGTTCTAATACACCAGCGACCTGAATTTTGTCATTCTACGATATGGCATGGACCGTTTTAAAGGTATTCTACTTTCGGTGGAATTTGATGCTGGATATCGTCGACTGGTGTATAACTGTGATCATTTTGTAATCAGACACAAAAGAGAGAGAGAATGAGGGAGCCTAGAAACTAACTTAGTTTGGCGTAAGGTCTGAATGATTGTAAATCGTCCAAAAAAACCCTCTTGTCGTGGTCCGATGAACAGTTTTCTGTAATCTTTCTATGAACTTATAGGTACATTTAAATACCAAACCGTTCTCGTGTCTGAGAGATGTACACCGGAAACCGTAATACGAACTCTCCCTCACCACAGTCGGTATTTTTGTAGGGCAAATACTAGTGCACTGTGGCCACTCTATGATTGAACGAACCACTAATTTCCACGTTATCATTGGTTGAACTGCTAATTGTGATTGACAGTTAGGATCCGTCTGTTACCAAAGCTCGTGACCGATGTACCTCTATCGAGGCTGACTCGGGAATGATGGGATAGAAGTGTTTATCTGCCTGCCTAACGATTTACACCTGCGGGGTGTTATTCCTGCACGAAACCCTGTCTGAAGCCCCTGTCACACATAGCTGAATATGACTTCCTGAACACTGTAAATGGTTCATATGTGCCTTATTTTGAGTGAAAAGTGACTATGTAAAGCCATGCTGATTTGATTATATGGATGACATCCTTTGAGAACCCCAAAACTGACGCGAGCGTGCGAATAAAAAAAGTTTAAAACTAGAGTTCGGCAATCTCATACCTCCAGGACATATTTAGTGCTTTTGTAAATCTTCTTATGCATGGTGATGACCATCTGTCATTTCATTTCATTTTATTTATTAATCCAGGGGTAGCATATCGCCAATGGCGGTTTTCAACACTCCCTGCACATAACAATACATAATACATGTATAATAACAGAAAAAGTAAAAGAACTAACTTAGGTACAATCATAATCGTCGTGATAATAAAAGAAACAGGAGAACACAATAACATACAGAAAACAAACTAAATAAATAAGACAAATGATGTAAATGATATTGATAATGAAACCACCTGTAAATGGCTTACATCTACAATCCTGCTCATTAGCAAATTTTTAATATAAATTATTCACATAGCCTGTACCTGGTGAAATCCTTATCATTTGGCATGGACAACGTATGATATTGTTGGTTGTATGCAAGCACGGCCTCTGACATACCATTGCCAAATCATGTTAGCCGTCCAAACTGACAAATTATGTACATTTTTCACTGCAAATATGCAAATTATAAGGGCTGATTTGCATATATCATATCAGTTGATCATATTTTCCACCCAATGACAGGGTTATCTTAAGAAATAAGGCTATTCTAGCGTTGCCTCATAAATTATGCAAATGAGGCCTTGATTTGAATAAATTACGTTAAGTGATGTTCAACTTCACTGAACTTCCAGCTATGGCAAGTATTGAATTCGCAGCAGTTACCACTATAAAATTGTACCAATAGCCAATTACCTATGCAAATTAGGTCTTAATTTACATAATCAATATCTGCTAATGATCTTGTCGTATTCAATTACATATGTCACAAGTGTTTCATAGCCCTAATATCGAATACAGCAGATTTATAGAATTTCCTCATTAATCATGAAAATTAGATCCTGATTTGCATGATTATAATTAATTATGTCAAGCTACCGACATACCAAAAATCATGACGATCCGTCAAACGGTTGTTTAGTTATCCCCTCTCGAAGATTTCAAAGGAACCATCCTGCAGTTCCAGAACAAGGCACTGGGGAGCCCAAACTCACATGACTTCTTTCCAAAAACAAGAGCTACCTATCAACCAAAATTCGTGACCCTAGCATGTCCAGATCGCGAGATATCAAAACCGGAAGTTGCGCTGCAGTACCAACAAAAGCGCCAGGGGGGGCCAAAATCTAATAATTTCTTGGTTTCATCAAGACCTACCCACCTACTAAGTTTCATGACAATGCATTGTCATGAAACTTAGTAGGTGGGTATGTATTGTCAAGAAGCTTAAAAGCTTCTTGAGTTATGCTGTTCACAGTCAGACAAACAGACAAACGGACAGACGGACAAACGCTACTCAAAACATAACCTTCTTGGCGAAAGTAATAAGAAATTTTCTGTTCTCTCTAAATGTCTGAAGCTATGGAACTTATCTTGTATACAAGAATAGAGGGTATCTCTCTCCTTTCTATATAAATCACATTTAGCAACAAAATGAAACTTATCTTCAATTTTACCTAAATTACGGTGTTGGCAAATTCTTTGCGCAGCAGAACGTGGTTATGTCTGCCTAATGTGGAGTTTGTGTGAACTAATCCGTAGTTTTGTGGTGGCTATTCTGTGTCGAGTATTTGTGATTTTTATATACGTTTCATCGCCGAATGTATTCTTTAGTAATCTGTATGTTCGCAATTTATTGTTGTTCCGCATTTCTGCTATGAAGGATTGAAGATATATGTCCTTTAAGACGTTAGCATATGGATGAGATAATTTGAGTTGAATTAAATGCAGATGACGTGGGCGAATTCCAGACGTAAGAAAAACCACATTCCTCTAATGTCTTACGAACACCAGCAGCCCAGCAGTTAGCGCCGACTGCGTCAAATCAAATGGACATGGAAGGACGTCTGCTGAAAGACTGGCACGTTCTGGCGAATTCTATTTGAAGTGTTTAACGGTGTTAATAGACGCGTCTAATCTAAGGGGATACCTCACTAATTCCGCCATCACCGCAAGATTACAAGATTTTGGGATATGCAGGGTTTACAGAATTTTAGGTGGACGGCTTCAATTGGGGAGGATTTAGGGCTTTTGAAAGATCCCCATATCTCGGGCCCATACAATAAAATTGGTTTTACACAGGTGTCAAATAGTTTGTTCCTTACCGAAATTGTAGTATCGGCTTTGCGAAGAGGTTGGTTAATTCCAAAGAGGGCTCCCAGACCTTTGTTGTGCATTATTAGTGAGATAGGTGCAACCATGCGATGACGTTCGTACCCCTTCCTCGAGTTTTAGCGTTCCAAAGTCACAATCTTCAGTTCGAACGAGGCTGCTAAGAGACCCAATTGAGTCTATAAGAGTATCTACCTCCTCAAAATCATGACCCTAGCATGTTCATAGCGCAGGTAATCAAAACAGAAACTCCTGTTGCAATACCAAGGAAAATCTCTTGGGAGTAAAAAATCTAATTATTACCTTCGCCAAGAAGGCGTTCGTTCGTGTGTGTGTGTGTCTGTCTGTGTGTGTATGTGTGTGTCTGTGTGTGTGTGTGTGTGTATATGTGTGTGTCTGTGTGTGTGTCTGTGTGTGTGTGTGTAAACACGATAACGTAAGAAGGCTTTAATGGAATGACTTGATATCTGGTCGGTGGGTACGTCTTGGTGAGACCTGAAAATAATTAGATTTTGGACCCCCTTGGTACTGCAGCGGAACTTCCAGTTTTAATATCTCATGACCTAGAAAATGCTAGGGTGGCGAAATTTGGATGATAGGTAGTGGGTGACGTGAGTTTAGGCCCCCTAGCAGCTTGCTCTGGAACTGCAGAGGCGTTTGTTTGATAATATTCAAATGAGGATATCCAAAGTGATGCTTGACATAATTATGTGGCAATTATGCAAATATAGATGTAATTTGCATAATTTATGAGGATATTCTATAAATCAGTTGCATGCATATTGTCCCCACTATTCTCACTGGCAATAGATTGGTTAATGAAGAACGTCATCAAAGACAAAAGCTCTAGAAGATCTTAATTACGCAGATGATCTTGGTTTACTCTCCAGCAGACTTGGTGATGCACAAGAGAAGTCAGGAAAGCTCAGTATGATTTCCAACACCATCGGCCTTAAGGTGAATGAGGATAAAACCAAAGTCCTAAGGACAAACACCGCAAACAGTGATCCCATCATGATAAATGGCAAACCACTGGAAGAGGTAAACGAATTCACCTATTTATGCAGTAAGATGACTGCGGATGGAGACTGTACGAAGGAAGTAGACAGGATTAGCAAGGCAAATCAGGCATTTGCAATGCTAAGACCAGTATGGAGAAACACTAACATACATACCAAAACCATAATTAACATCTTAAAAAGCAACGTCCTGAGTGTTCTGCTGTATGGTGCGGAGTGTTGGAAGGAGACAGCACTTATACAGCATAAACCGAATGTATTCCAGAACAAATCCTCAAAATCTTTTGTCCTAACACCATATCGAACAAGAACCTACACCTTAAGACAGGACTTAAACCAGTGAGCGAGACCCTGCGTGCTCGCAGATGGAGATGGCTTGGCCATGTTCTTCGCAAACCAGCAACTGATTTGACAAGAGGTGGACGCCGCAGGGCAGAAGAGCGAGAGGTCGTCCTAGGGTGACATGGAGAAGAACAGTAGAAAAGGAGGTGAGAAGATACGGGTTTTCGATGGATGAGGCGGCGAAGGTGGCTACTGACCGGCCTAGATGGAGAAGCTACTTGGAGCCCCATACGCCACCAGGCTCGGAGGGGACTGAGTGAGTGAGTGATTACATGGTAGGACTATTCAAGCTTGTTGTGTTTAAACGAAACACAGGCAGATATTCATTATGTAAATGGCTAATTAATTTCCATAATTAATGAGAAAATGTTGTAATTCAGCAATGGTAACTGCCTGAAATTTCATACTTAGGGTATTTCAAAGTTAAGTGAATGTGAACATCATTAAACATTAAACTTATTCAAATACGAACCTCATTTGCATAATTTATGAGGAAATGCTAGAATGGTATTCTTTGTAAAGATGAGACTGCCTATTTGTGAAGAGTATGTTCAACTGATATAATTCATCGAAATGAGAATCCTATTTGCATAATCAGGGGGAATAATCTATAATATGTCAGTCATAAAGATTAACATCATTTGACAAAGGTATGAGGTCGTGGAAGTTTTGAATGAACTGCACAGGTGTACTTACCCCCTGCTGGTTGGCCAGCCTGGATGTACCTCCGACTGATGACGTTACCTGTCGTACAGACAGAAACATGAACATACGTCAGTACTGTCACCCGCCGGAGGGTAAAAATGTCCACATCAGTTCCCCAACAACTTAACCTGTCAAAGAGGTCCAAACCTTTCAGTCTAGCGGGTATGGGGCGTTGGGTTCCCGAGCTGGTGGCCAGGGTTTTATTTCCAGGAGATATCATCCTTCTCGCCCAAAGTTGATTTAATACCCTATCCTAACTGAACTGGGCGATCTCCGGGAAAGGGTTGAAGGTATGGGCAGAAAGTCCGGAGCAAAAGCCCCGCGTGTTCCGTCACACTCGTCCGCTCGTTTCTCCTTTGTCCTGGCCGGCCTCCAGGGCTCCGAATGAGAAATCTCTTGTTACCTCCATGAAATGTGTCATGGAGGTTATATTTACCTCCATGAAATGTGTCATGGAGGTTATATTTACCTTCGCCAAGAAGGTTATGTTTTCAGGGGCGTTCGTGTATGTGTGTGTGTGTGTGTGTGTGTGTGTGTGTGTGTGTGTCTGTCAACACGATAACTTGAGAAGGCCTTGATGGATTGTCTTCATACTTGGTAGGTGGGTAGGTCTTGATGAGACCTCAAAATGATTAGATTTTGGACCCCCTAGCGGCTTGTTATGGTACTGCAGCTGAACTTCCGGTTTTGATATCTCATGATCTAGACATGCTATGGTGATGAAATTTAGATGGTAGGTAGCTCTTGTGCTGGTGAAGAAGTGATGTGAGTTTAGGCCCCCTAGTGGCTTGCTCTGGAACTGCAGCGATATATTCTTGAAAATATTCAAAAGGTGATAACTCAAGAACCGGTTGACGGATCGTCGTGATTTTTGGTATGTAGGTAGCTTACGTGATCCTTCATATAATTATGTGACAATTATGCAAATATGGATATAATTTGCATAATTTATGGGGAAGTTCTATAAATCAGCTGCATTCCATGATAGGACAATTAAAGCTTGTGACATTGGTAATTGACAACGAGAGAAACACAGGAAGATATTGATTATGTTAATAATGACCTAATTTGCATAATTAATGAGAAAATTTTACAATTATGTAATGATGGAATTTCATACTTGTGGTATTTGAAAGTTAAATTGAGGTGAACATCATTAAACATAATTTATTCAAATCAGGACCTCATTTGCATAATTTATTAGGAAATGCTAGAATGCATTGTTTGTTAATATAAGACTGTTTTTTTGGTTGAGATTATGATAAAATGATATAATTCATGAAAATTAGGTTCCTATTTCTTAAATCAGGGGGGAATAATCTAATCTATAATTTGTCAGTCATAAAGATTAACATCATTTGGCGAAGGTATGAGATCGGGGAACTCTAGTTTCAGTTGCGTTTATCTGTCTGTTGGTCAACAAGATAACTCAAGAACGCCTGGATGGATTGGTTTCATACTTAGTGTGTTGGTAGGGTGTGACGAAAACTGGAAATGATTAGATTTTGGTCCCCCTAGTGGCTTCCCTTGGTACTGCAGCGCAACTTCCGGTTTTGATATCTCGCGATCTGGACATGCTAGGGTCATGAAATTTTGATGGGAGGTAGCTCTCGTGCTTGGAAAGAAGTCATATGAGTTTGGGCCCCCTAGCGGCTTGTTCTGGAACTGCAGGGCACTTTCTGGCGAAATGTTTAAAAGCCAATAAGTCCAGACAGGAACAACATATTTTCATTATTTTTGGTGTGTAGGTAGCTGAGATATATATATACATAATTAGATGCAAATTATGCAAATGGAGACTTTATTTGCATAATTAATGAGGAAATTCTATAATTACAGTGTTTTACATTATACTACTTACATACATGTAATGTATGTAACGTATGGCAGGCGGAACTTCAACAGATACTAATTATGCAAATGATGACCTAATTTGCATAATTAATGCAAAAATTCTATGATTTCGTAATGGTGAATGATGAGAATGTCATACTTGGGACGTCTGTAAGTTAATCAAAAGTTAACATACATCACGATGCATACATCATGTTAATGCAGAGGTCATTTGCACAATTAAAGAAGAAATTTACATTTATATATCAAGATCATATTTCATGGAGGTATGAGATCTCGGAATTCTAGTTACCTCCATGAAATGTGTCATGGAGGTTATATTTTCAGTTGCGTTTATCTGTCCGTCCGTCTGTTGGTCAACAAGATAACTCAAGAACGCCTGGATGGATTGGTTTCATACTTGGTGTGTTGGTAGGGTGTGACGAAAACTGGAAATGATTAGATTTTGGGCTCCCTAGTGGCTTCCCTTGGTACTGCACCGCAACTTCCGGTTTTGATATCTCGCGATCTGGACATGCTAGGGTCATGAAATTTTGATGGAAGGTAGCTCTCGTGCTTGGAAAGAAGTCATATGAGTTTGGGCCCCCTAGCGGCTTGTTCTGGAACTGCAGGGCACTTTCTGGCGAGATGTTTAAAAGCCAATAAGTCCAGACAGGAACAACATATTTTCATTATTTTTGGTGTGTAGGTAGCTGAGAGAGAGATGCACATAATTAAATGCAAATTATGCATAATTAATGAGGAAATTCTATAATTACAGTGTTTTACATTATACTACTTACATACATGTAATGTATGTAACCTATGGCAGGCGGAACTTCAACAGATACTAATTATGCAAATGATGACCTAATTTGTCATAATTAATGCAAAAATTACTATGATT